CCTCCTTTCCTCTCTTGCTATAAGGCCTCGTGTCATACACTGATGTATGAGAAAACTGCATGAGAACAACAATGATGGAGAGGTCCTCATCTTCGAAACCAATGGCACCGACATAGAGATATGGCACGACTTCCTTGGAAGCAATCCGGTTGACGTTTGTCAGGACTGACCTGTCGACCGAGAATGATTGAACTTCGCTCATGAGAGTGATAATCACTATTGATTCTTCTGATTTTTCTAGTTTGATTGACTGTCTCAAAAGATGTGGCTGATTGTCCCACCATTTTGTTCTTGATAATACACTATGTACTCGATTATGGTATGTCTCTTCATAATATTGAGTGCTCTCTCTCTCATCTAATCTTTGAAGGAGGCTATGTAGTCTGTCTCAGTGTTTTCTCACCTCTCTTGCTGTGTATTTCATTCACCCACAAAACATTCTTCTTTCTCATCTCACTTTTCTTTTCATCTGAAAGTCAAGCTGAGTTGAGTGACCTGGTTTCAACTATTCTTTGTCTCTTTCTTTGTTGACTCCTTGAGTTCGAGAGACTAGTCCAAGGCTTAGGAGATGATTGTCAAGGCAATTTAGTCTTGTTCACTGACAATCTTTGAGGATGAGGATGTGTTGTGCAATCTCTAATCGGATCCGTGAAAGTAGATGGTGTACTCTATGAACTCCTCATCTTTTACCAACTCAAGTGCTCGTTCCCTCATCAGTTTCGTGTAGAATAGGGTGTCTTCAACGACTTTATCTTCCCACCCTTCCACTTCGTTTCGCTAGAGGGAGCAGGGTATCACGAGAGTGTCTTTGCTATACATACTTCCTCTTCTCTTGTCTGCAGGGACTTCTTATTTAATTAGTTGAAATTGAGAAAATTGCTTGTCTTACAGTCTCGTTGCAAAATTGAGGATGCTACTGAAAACCCAGGCTAATCTCTGCTATTAATTACCACTGGGACATTCAGCAATTCCTTACCGCTAAATAATGGTTTGTTGTTAACTTCTCAGCGAAACGACTTACTGCCAGCCTCTCAGGACCTACCGCTAGAGTTATCAGCAAATTGTTTGCTGCAAAACTCCCCACATACTACTTACTACTAACCATTTTCTAGCGTAGACCAGAGGTAGATGAAGTTTTTTAACATACGGCACGGAGGGAATATCAAGTATAACCTCTGTTCGTATAGGGTGCAAGGGTGTTGATGACAGTAATTCACACTAGGATACCATACAGGGTAACATAGGCGGTAGTCCTTACTCGAATACCGTACAGCGTGATAATCATAACCGACGTCATTCCAACAGTACATGATGTGTTGCGGTATGGCTGCAAATCATATAGAGTACAGAGCGCCATTGAGCACAACTCATGTCCATATACGACTTAGGAAATCGTTGAACTCCGTCTCTATTGGTATACATCACGGATACCGTAACACTCAAGAATAGAGTTAGGACTCGTATCCAATTCGAATGAATCAAGTTGAGATAACAGATAAATAATCAAAACGAGCAAGTAAATAATTAAATAAGTAAATATCCAGACAAATAATATCAATCAACTCAGCAAGGGAGAATTTCCTCTTGAAGTCGATTTCCTCACTTGAATTGTACCAGATAATGTTGGCAGTGGTTCCCATTTGAAAATTGTAAACAGTACCTCTGGTAGTAATCCTCATTCAAATAGCACATACATCTACTATATGGGCTATCATTCAAAAGAGCATAGAGGATGTTCAAATTGAGACTGGGTTTTTCCATCCTTATTCTAATTACAAACATAAATATTTTAGTTTATTGCCTAGTCCTTCCTTTCTTCATCTCGAAGCTCCTCAAGAATTTGAAGCTCGTAAGTGTATCCCTAAGCGTTTACATTTAACTAATAACTATACTGATTTTTTTCCTTCCTTTCTTCATCTCAAAGCTCCTCAAGAATTTGAAGCTCGTAAGTGTATCCCTAAGCGTTTACATTTAACTAATAACTATACTGATTTTTTAGGTATGTCATTTTTTAAGCCAATAAAAATAAATTCTATGTTCTCAAAAAGAAAATGGAAGTCCAAAAAACACCAGCTTCAAGTCTTACTTTCTATAAAAGGAGAGAAAAACCAGAAATTGATCGTACTATTAAGAACAATTCGCTCGATTACTGCACTGAATACTGTTAGCATGAATCCTCGTTCGGATAGCAGACAGGGTACTACTAACGAGGATTTTCTTCTCGATTGTTGCACCGGGTACCACTCAACACATTTCTTCTTCTCGTACAGTATAGGATACTATTGAGTTCAGGTCCATTCAGTATACAGCGCAGGATTTTGCTGGTCACGATACCAGTCCGCATGCTGCGAGAGTTAGCTAGTCGTGTGCTCGTTAACATGCTACGCAGGGGTAGCTGAGATTAGTACTTGTTCGTATGCTACACGTGGGTTCACTATTGCACACTGCCTCTGGCGAAAATAAAATATGTTTGATAAGTTCTCAAACTTTCTGAAAATTATTCCTAGTTCTTCTATAGATGCAAAGAATTTGTTTACCATATCCTCACATCATAGTAAGCGAGCGCGATTAACTAACTCCGACCTCTAGTTGCACCAACCTCCAGTACGCTTTGCGGCTACTTCCATCTTCTTCCGAGGATCAAGCCAGCTGATAACAATCAGCAACCGGCAATAGTATACACCCACACGACATCACTGCTCGCAACCACAATTTCACACAGCTTGGCATTTGGCCAGTCACACCTGACGATCTCGTCCAAGTAGCCATCGACTTTCCCGAGTAAGGGGAACCTGCTGGTATTCGGAAACTCTTCAGCCACTTCCGCTTTTTTTCCGAAGACTCACAAGCTAGCTGATCACCAAACTCACGTTTACCTTTTCACCCTCACGCAACCAGCTCGTTACACTGTAGTGGTTATAAACAACGTCTACTCCACGAGTCGCTCACATCCATAACTTCCCATCACCCTGCAACTAGGTAGTTACAGCCCACCACAGTCGAGGGGCCTCTCCTTTCTCATGTACACACAATGATCCCCCGTTCTCTACTTCAGGCAAGCGACGGATCGATAAGTCTCGATGCCAGAGGGATCAGTTGGAGTGTTAACGGTTGTTATCGACTCTCGGTGCATGTAGTGGACCTTTGTTGTGCGCTACTTCAGGCTAATATTGAATCATAGACCAAGGTGCAATAGGGAACAACTGGGACGATAAAGGTTGTTACAGACTCCTACAACCCCAATGTCGAGTAACCACATTGACGGTACCACCACCACCGCCGCTGTAGTAGAGCTCACTCCCTCTCAACGCTTGCCACGTGCCATCACCTAGGCTATTCTCCCGCAGTGGTTAGCAGCCACACGGTTTGATCGTATCGGGCTCATCAAGGCACCACCCCACCTCGCTAATCTCTCATTCGCACCAAAATTCGCCGACAAGCTACGCTGCTTCTTGAGCTTACATCCTTACGCACTTCCGCATACCCCCGTGCTGCCAAGCTCAACGGCACCGTGATCGATCTCCTCTTCCCCCTCAGCTAACCTCCTCGTCAATCCTTCCTCCCGGGTTCCTACGAAACCACGTACACACCTACCTTCCAAACCTCGCAGATCCTTCGTTGGCAGCCACTCAGCCTCTGAGTACACTCCGCCCACGTGTCACCAGGCTACCCGCCCGCGATCATCCTCCTATCCTTCAAACACCACGGTCTGTATTGCCAGTGGATCCGAGCAGAACCCACTCACGACACTACGTAGTGACTTCACCCACTTCTACATGTGCCTTATCACTTCCACACTTGGTAAACACAGTTCGGACTTCTACTCATCACCGGCACGGTACCTTCTGTCGCATCCAAACCCCTTCTTCAGCTTTGTGTATCAATAGCAAAACCGCTCGTAAGTAGGCTCACACCTTACGCCTCCATCAGTCTTGCAAATGGAACACAATTTGGTCAACTGCCCAACTTCAATAATCTAACTACCTCTCGTAGCCAATGCACATCTTCGATTCATGAGCTCCCCCTGACATCTCCGGGCACTCGTTCGTTCACGTCTCATGTATAGACTTCACCCACCTCTAATTACTCCCTACCTCTTTTCGCACGGATACCTCTCCAACTTCGACACACTTCCTTCTCTCGTTTCTTCCACACTATTAAGTCGCGTGACCGCTCCTTGCCACGTACACCTCATACGCACCGACCTCATCCACTTCTAACCTTGCTTCATTACTTTTGCACCTGAAACTGTTCGACTTCGACATACCTTCCCTCGTATCCACCTCACAACCTCAAATCACTTAACCACTTCTCTCACTCTTACTCTCGCTTCCAGCCGCCTCCCTTCTCCTCCTCTGTTGGTCTAGTAGCACACTCGCATAGAACCCAACTCGCACTAGAACTCCCGAAGTAGGCGTAACCACCATAACGAGTACGACCGCTCGACTGGTTGTTGCGCGTTCAAGAATTGAAATAGCGAGGCCAGCGCTACGCTTCCATGTCCAAAGGTTTAGCAGGCAGCACCTACACGGACTTCAACAGCTCAATGTGCACATTCCCCGACGCGTTTCGCTCGGCTGCGCACCAAGCTTCTCAAGGGATGAACCTCACTCCCGCATCCACCTGACGTACCACCTAAGAGGGCCGTTCTAGCCTTGCCCTCTGATAATAAGGATTCCACGTGCGTGCCACCACACGTCACAGTAACTAACTGGGATTCTCCCGTGGCGTACTGTGGCAGGCTAGGTTGGCCCTTGCGCAGAGCCGCTATCGCTCCCTCATGTGCGCACCCAGCGTGCTATATTTCCCTCTGCTCCACGTGTACCGGTTGCTCGCGCGGCTCTACAGTCCCTGTCGAGTGCGAGGTAGACCACTCTGTGTCTATACAGCTATACCCCTTCCTTTCCTGCCAGTTCGTGACATCTCACATGTCACCGCCCGGGGAGTCCAGTTCTGGCCCCGGGTGCTAATCACCCAGGGAACTCCTACACACCGCTCACCTTCTCTCACTAATCGACCTCAGTCCATTCCAACCAACCCACAGCTTCCCCGTCTCCTCCTGTGCATACGCATTAACACCTGGTACAACCCGGCCTGGCAGTGTACTGCGGGATACTCCTCGTATAACGCGGGGACTCCTTCCCATCCTACTACCCAACGGTCTGGTACCCAAAACGGCCTCGCCTCCCGCCTGGTTTCTCAAAAACGAACAGGAGAGAAAAAAGAAAGTGAAAGAAAGAAAAGACATACGAAAAGAACGGACCACCCAACTTCCACACCGCCGAGGTCCTAATTACCGGGCCTAGCCCGCTAATTCTTGCCATCAGGCCTGCCTGTTCTGCCTATATCTCACTAATGTACACCCGGGTTAACGGGTTACTAAGCCCCTACTAATGTACACCCGTACTTTCCATCACCCTATTGTGCATCCGGGTTTAACGGGTCATTAACCTCCTACTACTGTACACTCGTACTTCCCATCACCCTATTGTACACCCATTCGGCCCCCTAGCCTTTAGTATGTATGATGTATCACTAGTCTGCATATAGTCGTGTAACCAGTTGCCCGGTCAGCATCTCCAACGCTGCCCCAAATGAACCGGTGGCTCTGGCAAAGTAGGAAGAAGAAGAAGAAGTAGAAGAAGAAGATGACGAAGAAGAAGAAGAAGAAGGAGTAGAAGTAGGGAGGTAGAAGAAGAAGAAGAAGTAGTAGGGGAGGTAGAAGAAGAAGAAGAAGAAGTAGAAGTAGGGGAGGTAGAAGAAGAAGAAGAAGAAGAAGAAGAAGAATAGTGGAAACAGTGGCCAATGCCTTTCGTCCGCGCTTCGATAGCTCTTCAATACATAGCCGTACTCATCTCAGCTCACGCACACAATCCCCGACGTGTTTCTATGGGTTGCGCTCTGATCATCCTCAGGGGCGCGGTCCCACTAGCACCCAGATTAGCCTTACCTATATCTGCAGGACTTGTGTTTTCCGTATTAAAGAGACTTCAAGAAATAGTAAGAAATACGAAAAAAAAAAAAAAAAAAAATCAGGGACTTTTTTTTTCCGTCTTGGGACTTTCGACAGCAAAATATAGGACTGCACAGGCACGACGTTTGGGCTGCACAGGTTTCTTGGCGACACGAGCGCAGAGACACTCACACAACCTGAAATACGGCCGGACCTGTATGCATCTGACCGCAATCACGTCCCGAGTGAGGGGGGACTGGAATATGGGTTGAGCTGAGGAGAAGAGTGGGCGGAGGGAGGGAGGGAGGGAGGGGGAGGGAAGTGGGAGGGAGGGGCGCGCTCACACCAGTGCCTTCCTGAATGCATCGGACCTGAATTACAGCCCGACTTGGATGCATCTAACGGCAATCACACGGCGAGCTCACCTATTTGGTAGAGCTAAGCAGTTAGGTGGGCGGGAAGAGGGGAGGAGGAGAGGTCACATTATTTCCAATTTCCTTATTTTTAATCCACTTTTCTGAATTATTTTTCAGGGAACGATGACGGCCCTCTACCCAAAACTAGTGTGCTCTAGAGAGAAGACACCCCTCGCATGCATTTTCTTTTCTCTTTCCAATGCATGGCCAATGGGAGGGCGATCCATTTTCATTTGGAAGACATGGAAAAAGTGAAACGAACCAAACAGTTGGAGAAAAAGGCAGCTCCGTCAGATCTACATCGAATGGGTGGCCCTTACGGATCGGACTACAATGTTTTACACAAAACACATGTGCCCCGGACATAGCTAATGCTAATCCGGGTGCTAGTGGGACCGTGCCCCAGGGGGCTAACCTCATGACCCTGCCTTGTGGCCCGTAGAGGACCGATACGGCCTCGTCCTCGTATATACTGCCCATCGAGTTGTAAGCCTAGCCAGCACAGTACTCCCTTCCCAACGGGCACTTCCACGAGCGCCTACGGCTACGACCGTTTCTGTCGCATAGCCGTTATGCCGAGCTCCGTAATGATCCGTTACGTTTGGGTCCCTCAATGGGCTACAGATAGTCAATCCACGTAAGCTTCCAGTCATCGACACAATGCCTATCCCTTCAGGCCAGCTTTCACCGCATGTTTCACGTGTGCAGAGTACTATGCATGCGCTAGGGGCTCTTTTCCGCGGATAGTCCTTCCAACGTTCGCTTCCTTCCATCCATCTTCCGATTCTGATTTCTATTGGCTTGATTCGTGCAGCGTGGATCGTAGCCTCTATTCCTGCTACTTGGCCTACCCAGTCAGTTACACGCGAGCTCTCATGACCTGTACAATTTCAAAATCCGACACGCAGCCCATTTTCCTGCTCTTTAGAAATTAGGCGGGGCAGCCCGGTAACCCTCCGTGACTGGACTGCCTAACTGGCGTAGTGTGCGAACTACCCGCAGTCCAGTTGCACGTATTTCCAAGGACCTATAAATTATATTATATACGCCGATAATACGAAAGCCTTAATTATTCCGAGCCTGCAAATTTCTACAAAGTCCCTACCGTGTCCGCTATTTTCGACCAGCTTTTCCACTACCGGTAGTAGAGGAAAAGTGCGGCCATCTATATACATTTTATATACATTTTCCACTTCGACGGTAGTAACTGCCTCGCAAGAAATTATCTACGCAAAAAAAGCTTATTTCTACACAAACAATTATTTCTACTCCAAAAAAACTTAATTCTACTCCAAAAAATCTTAATTCCACGCAAAAATTATACACAAAAAATTCCCCACCAGACAAGGCTATTCCGTGAATACGGTCCTTGTTCAGGTCACCACAAAAATTTCGGCCGCCTTCTGCTATCCCACTGTACCAGGTTCTCAAGCAGCCTCAACCAGGGCTCCTTGAGCACGCTGGTGCCCTTACCAAATCGTGCTAGGGCATTGAAGAAGGAAGACCGCAAGTATCCCCGGCCTATGAGCTCGTTCTTCAGGGCTAGAACCTGTAAGAATAGAGTACTTTTTTTTTTTTTTTTTTTTTTTTTTTAAGGGTGACGGCCTTGAGATATTATCATTGAGCTGACCGGCCCCAAGCAATTCATTAGTAGTTGGTTTTACTCATCAAGTTCTATCATCTGGATTCGAACACAGCACCTGGTCTATATTTCAACAGTTCATGGGTGTGGTCCCCACTGAGCTAGGCTCTTGGGTGAATAGAGTACTTTCACTGTTCGCCATTTGCTGAATACGATAGAGAGATAGAGACTACCGATTATGTAGCTCCGATTTTTGCCCGCTTGTCTGAGTAGGAATTAAAATTCTGGAAACATCAAGGGACGAGTTCCTGCTTCACTCTTCCCATCTGGCTCTTCAGTTCGTTCTTGATCTTTGGCTCCATGAGGAACTTGGTCTTTCCTGATACGGTCGTAAGTCTTGTCCCAACGAATTCAAAATGGTGATAGATCCGTCGGCTGTACGGACCAACGAGAGCTTATGATCATCATAGCAGCTTCAGAACTTGCGTAATATCTGCAAAGCCTCTTACTGATCGAACCTTCCTTTCTTCCATTGAAAGCCACTGCCAACTGATAAATCTTACTCCGTGGACAAGCTTGCGGTCACCTCCTAGTGATTTCAGAAACCCTTCTACCCTTCTTCATATCTCGCACAGAGCAGACAGGCCACTGGGGGACTGGAGTTCTTCCCCATTGGCACTCCAATGACCTGTCTCAGCAGCTTCCCTCTACACATAGTGTAGGTGTGCTGCAATTCGCTGTCTCAGCAGCTTCCCTCTACACATAGTGTAGGTGTGCTGCAATTCGAAGGAAACGAAAAAAACTCCGAATATAGCTGAAGGGGAACTTGACATAGCCTTTCCCAAACAACTTCATGCCGAGGGAGGGAAACTTGCTTGCTTTCCCCTTTTGCATACCGTAATTTTCCGGTATCCTTTCTTCTCCCATTCTCCCAGCAGCCGGGATATCGCCTCCATGATAGCAGCATGCGGAAGGGATGTAAACAAACATATCCTTGATGTCAAATCCCCCACACACACATCGCCATCGTCTGTCCGTCATACAGGTGAATGAAGCTTCTTCTCTTCTTTCTTCAACCTCTGCTTGAGCATGGCTGTTGCAGTAGTAAGGTTGAAATGCTCTGCTCCAGAGAGCTTTTCCAGCAAAGTAGTTGAGTGCTCTCGCAACTCATAGTGGGCTCGCTGCATGCTGCCAGTCATAGTGGGTTCCTCATTGCCAGCATCCTCTTCTTCTCTGCTTTCTTCAATCTCTGCTTGGCGGCCAATTGCCCCAGCTCCCTGGAGCTTTTCCAGTAAGGTTGAAAGATGGCTGCTGCCAGTCGTAGTGGGCTCGCTGCATGCTGGGGCAATGGGCCGCCATCTTTCGAGATCCTTGTGCTTGGGCAGTAGGTAGGGGGAGATGACAAAGAAGAAGAGGATCCTTGTGGCAATGAGGAAGGGAAAGGAGAGGGAGG